AAACACCTCCAGGGATGGGGACTCCACCAACTCCCTGGGCAGCCTGTTCCAATACTTCACAACCCTCTCGGGAAAGAAATTTTTCCTGATATCCAACCTAAATTTCCCCTGGTGCAACCTGAGGCCATTCCCTGTTCTTGCATTGTAGGAGAGCTCAGCCCAGAAGCAATATTAAGTCATTAGGACATTTTCAGACACACATAAAACAGACCTTTTCCCCTTCTGAATTCCAAAACAAGCATCCGAAGCAAAAGCAAAGCACTGCCAGTTTAAAACATGACTGGGGAAAAGACTGACTAATAAAATCTCTGGACTATTACACATAGTACACTGTACTACATCACTGCGTGGGCGAGCACAGAGTACAAAACCACTAAATATTCGGTTAATATTTGCGAATCGTTAAGGCTAATGACAGAGGAAGCTAAGGAAAAACACGGTTCCCACTACTCAGACCCCCCAGGAGACATGCTGGGGTACATCACAGAAGTGCACAATTACCTGTCAGATGTTACTGAACAGAAGAGCTAAAACATTAAATGCTAAGGCAGAGATGCTCTTCATTTGAAACAGCTTAACTCCTTTAATTTCCTAATCCCACCCAAGAGATTACGGAACAGCTCCTAAAGCTGCGGCAGGTTTTGTTCTGTGCACTGTTTCTGCAGGGTTTGCACAAGCCAAACGTTGTTGGTGCTGTATGTTTAAAGCTTTCTGTTGTGTGAAACATCTAGGCACAGATCCATAGGCACACGTGTACATGCACACGGACATAAACACAATCCCTGTCATGCAGGTGTTGGCAGACAAGCAGCAGGAAACACGACGGCTCTGGGTGCCAGAAACAGACGTTTCCTCTGTCGAGCCCACTGCCAGCTGTGCAGAAATGGGGATCCCCACTCCAGACTCCGCTGTAACAGCTGTTAGGCACAAAAGTACCTTTAAACCCGGAGCTTCATCACCTACAGGAGAGGACGGCAAAGAAGCTGTGCAGGAATTATCCTCGGGAAGAACATTCAGTCCATCTTTGCTAGGGACCGAGCAGACGTGTGCTGGCTGTGCGGCAGCCTGGCCGGCTGAGAGGTGGCCAAAGTCGAACACTCAGTCACCGCTAAAAGTCTGTAAATAAAATCAAGTCTGAACACTGAAAGGAAGAATTATGATATTAAAGGAGCTCTGAAGACAAATGGGGAACTGAGATGATGACATGTAGAGCCTACATTAGCCAGGACTACGCTCCTGATGGAAAGCAGACACGCACAAAGCACTGCCCGCTAAC